AGAAAGATGGGGTGGAGATGTAAAGTTGAAAAATATTGATTTTCAACAAACCTTATTAAAACAAAAGTGGTGGGGCAGAGGTGTAAAAAAGAAATGAGATAATCTTTTGTCTTAAAAAGGAATGGTATAAATGGGTTGGCATGTTTATTGTGGTATGGAAAGGCTAAGGTATATGATTTTAATGTGGAAGCTTCTCTACATTTAAATGTGTTGAATTATGAAGGGATTATAAGATATGATTTAAACTGAACTAAGAAGGATAAGAATAGGAGTTGAGACTTTTTTTTTTCTTTGTAGGTGACATAAGGGAAAATAAGAGATCGTTTTCTTTTCTTTTTTATCTTAAAAATGAACGACCAAAAGCTAAGTTACATAACTCTTTTGTTTTTGAATTGCTATACTAGAAAATGATTATTATGAGAGTAGCAGGAGCTGTACTAAGCAGATTTCTTTTTATAAGCGAGATATATTAAAGATTGTAAGAAGCTGGACTCTTATAAGGAGTTAATTGTATGTGACTAAGTGAAGTGTAAGCTAGATGAAACTTTAATAAATTAGCTCAAAGAAAATTTGTTTAAAAGATATCATAGGTAATTGTTGTCATCAAGCAGATTAGATATGATGTCTTTAAAGATGCTAAATGGATGTTAGACATGTGAACATAAATCGGGTTAAAAGTCTTTAGTCCTTTTTTAAGCTTGGAACATTTCTTCTCTTTCACTTTCCTCTTTAGTAGATATTGGATGGGAATACTAGTAAGCAAAAAATGTATTTGATTGCATTTGTAGGAGTTTATCTGTTTAATATTAGAAAAATGAAAAGATCTTGAATTGTATAGAGTTGGTTAGATTGAAGCTACTACTGAAGAAGAAAGAAGATATTGACTTTTACCAAATATGGAGAGTCTTTCTTTTAATATTGGTCAAGAAAAATGGGACTTTGTAAGAAATGGATGGACTGATCTTACCACAGAAGGAGAAAGAAGATAGTGACTTCTATCAAATTTGGAATCTCTTTTTTTTTATTGGCTGGAGAAACGGGACTTGGTTTAGATCTAAAAATGTTTTTAAGATTTCATAAATGGATCTGAATATGATTACAGAATGTTAAAAGATATGTAGTAGTTAACCCAGTAGGGGCTGGGGCTGACCCAGGCTGGGGCTGACCCAGTAGTTCCGATGTTTGTGATGATTGATGTTTTTAGTATTGGTTTAAGATTTAATAAAAATAATAATAATAAAAAAGAAATCTGCAAAGCAAGGAGAGAGTAGAGCCCAGCAAAACCAGGGCTGTGGAATGTGTCCAAAAGATGAAGAGAACCCATGCTTATGTTTGGAGATGCTGATATGATTCTGCCTTTGGCCTACCATGCTAAGATGCCTGCACGTCCCAGACTCCATCTCTGAGGTGGAAGTAGCACTCCCAGAGATGGATGCTATTGGGTGATTGGACAGGAGCAGCCTGGGGAGTCTGGGGGGGTGGCTCCTCGTCCAGGCCTGTCAGAAGGAGGAGACCTCACAGAGGCCGAGCATCCTTTGACCCCCAGAAAAGTCACTGCCTGAAGCAGTGAGTCAGTAAGTTTCCTGCTATGAGAAGAAGTGCTTGCATGCAATCCAGGACTCCTGCGGAGAAGTTACTCGGTATGGATACGACCCTGACCAGAAGCTTCTAGAACACTGCAGCTGAGTCTTGAGTAGAGCTCAGCAGCCTTTGCTCTGAAAAGCCTTCAGTTTTTGCTTCGCTAGTAGTTCCAGAAGCAGCACTGGCGGGGGAGGTTGGTCAGGTGGCTTCTCTCTTGCTTCCTGGACCTGTCTTCATTGGTGTTCTGGGGTTCTGCGATCCTGCCCCTTGGATGCTGCTTGACTCTGCATTTGGACTCTGCAGTGCCTCTGACTGCCTTGGCCTTGACCTCTTGCATAGTCTGCGAAAATGGCTGCAGCCTTCTCTTTTGTACAAACTGCAACTGCATGGTGAGCAGTAGTGGAAGCACGGGACACATAATGGGCAATGAGCTAGAGAGGCAGAGAGAGGTGCCTGGCTGTGACCATGGACTGACCCTTTAAGAATGTGCTTCATGACAGGGCACTGAATCAGGCTGATATTGTGTTGGGGCACTGGCAACTGCGTAACAGGTCCCATGACTTATTCTGAGTAACTATTGCATCTTGGTTAAAATTGGGTTTTGGTGCTTCTGTTTTAATTATGTTTTGCTGTACTGGATTTTATGGTGTTTTAATTTTATTTAATCCCTTGCTGTGAACTGCCCCAAAAGTCCTGGTTATTGGGAGGCATGGAAATATTACTGCTCATAATAATATTGCTCCCGTGTGGATGGGGAGCTCAAGGATGGACAGGTGTCCTACTTTACAGAGGGAAGTCTTGCATCTGAAGAGGTACTCATTCAGAGTTGGACTTAACAGCAACGGATTGTAAGGAGGGAGCACAGGACTGTTGGAAGTTGTTCTTTGTCCCTAAGCAGCAGACAGGTCACCTAGTAGCTCTTCTCCACTGTGGTGCAATGTATTGGATTTCTGTACCCTTAGTTATTGTTCCTAAATGTGCACCTATACATCTAAATTTGCATGTGCTGTGCAAATTGCCTTCCTCTTTACTGCTGATGTGATTCCTGTTATTGGCAACACTTGCGCAGTCACCCTAAAGCCAATTCGCCCTTTAGGTTGCAAGGCCCGGGGAGCATCATTCAGTGATTCTCTCTATCCTTACTTCTTTGAAAGCCTTTGACTACATGGTGAAAAACAGGAGATGCCCCCAAATGGCCTTGATTGAGCTGTAGCGCATACATTCTGATGTCAAGACATTGATCGGCTCAGGAAAACACATGAAGAGGGCATTGTCCAAATGCACAGCGGTGGGAGTCCCGATACAATTTTAGCTTGTTTCTACTTGCCTCTTTTCAAAGGTTTCTGTACTGTTTGGTGCAGGATCTGTCCCTTCGCAAGGAGGCCCTAAAATGCAGAAATACCAGAGCAGCAGGAATGTGTTTCAACAGACAACTGCTCTCCTGTGGAAAAATATACTTCAGAAATGGAGGATGAGAGTGCAAAGTTTTCAGGTAAGTACAAAGAAGGAATTCAGGGGCAGAAATAGTAAGGGTAAAATGTTTGAGTTCAGCATTTCTGAGTACTTCATTTTTGAATCTGTGGTTCTGAAGCCTCCATGGTTGGAATAATTTCCAGGGTTGGCCATGTGTTTATTGAACAATTTTGCTATTTATCGTAATTGATCATTAAATGATGCAGGAGAATTGTGCAGATTGGCAGAAATTCTATTTTCCTTGATGCTAATGATATCTAGGAAAGTCTCTAATACATGTGGAAGATACAGGGGAACTATTGAAAACTTGCCTTTTTGGGTCAGTGAGAAGGAGGTAGAATTTTTAAGGGGGTACACATGTCTGGTAAATCAGTCTTCAAATGCAATTCATGGGCGCCAGTTGAGCATAGCATTGTTTTCTAAAATCCCTTCTGAACTGCTGTTTTGTGGAATTGAATTCCCTTCTTCCAGGGCTGAGCAGCTCATCAGTGAGCCTTGAGACCTTTCAGTAGGTTTCCATCTGTGAAGTCCTGGCTACTGGTTCGGGGCAGGGAATCACTCTTGCTGCTCCCACACAAAAAGTCCCTATTCCCACCCCTGAAGCTGTTCCTGAGGGCAGGGGACCTCCAAACCAGAATGGAATCTGGCTGCAATAGGGTGAGGGATTGGGGAAAAATGGTATCTGAACTCATATGAGTGGAAGAAATATATTCTGCTAAGACACGGGTCCACTCTAAGTGCATATACACTCAGTATGGGAAAAGAAAGGCAACGGCTGCATTTCTCTGTCCCTTCCAAAATCTATTGGGTCATTATCTAGAAGAATGGTAATGTGAGAATGCTACACATGGATTATGTTAAAATGCAAAACATGCATGTTCGTAACTGAAGGCCCACCTATTTCATGGAGCCATAGATTTAACAAAATCCAGCAACAAGACCATGGTGACTGTGGTTAGTACCACATGGTACAAATGATGAATCTGGTATTAGGGGTACAATATCCTACATCCTTAGTGTCTCCACTTTTCTAGCAGCCAGCGAAGACCCATTTAAATGAGGTGGCCACCGGAATCCATTACCACTTGCCTGGTTGACTCCAATGCTCATTCAAGGCTCTACAGACCGTCTGGGTGGGTCTTTGTGGAGAGGCTCCTGTTTGCTGGCTGCCAGAACTGAATCCTTGCAGCCGGCAAGTATTCTAAGGAACCTGCAACATCTCCTGCCTTTCACTCCACCCAGCCCAGTGGGTTACATGGCATATTTGTCCACATGCTGGTTCTTTTGCCTGCCCCTATATTGACCCATACACTTTTGCTGAGCCAGTAGCTTCCGTTAATACCTAGCAATGTGACAAAGCCCAGTGGAATGTACTCAAGACTTGAGTAAAGTAATATAAAAGCTTTGACAAAACACATCTGGTTTCACTGGCCTTTCCCATCCTTAAATCCTGTGAGTGCAGTTCTAGAATAATATTTCAAGCATCCTTCCAGCTGCCCGGTCTCCACCACCACCTGTATATGTTCCACTGTGCCTGAGTGTGTGTCTATGAGAGGGAGAGGATGTGTGGGTGGAAAATGGTTGTGGAAGAGAGCATTTCCTTATTACCCCTTCCTCCCTTCCATCTCCCTGTGTGCAGGTGAATCTTGTATAAGTTTGCATGTGGGGACTGGTGCAGAGAGCACCCTCTGTGTCCTCCCCATAACTATACAGCAATTAGCCTAGCTCTCCAGTTCTTTGCCTATAGTCTATTACTGTTAACTAGACTATTTCTGAAGCATAAAACCTCAATGTATTGCTCTAGATGTTATCACTTGCATTCTTCTGGATGTTTCTTTCCAGGAAGGGTTTTCCTCAGTGGTTCTCTTAATTGCAATAGTATTACTGACATTATGGGCCGACCTGCACACTCATGAAGAAATACCTGAGGCATTTCTTGGACATCTAGATGATCCTTCCTTCAATATTACTGGGGTCAAAATTGCTTATACTCCAGATACAATGATGGCAAGAGAAACCATGAGGAAAATAGAAACCATCTCTGTCCTGCAAGGTATGTAATGGGTGCTAAAACAATTTCACAGTAGAGTATGTGCCTTCCTTCAGAATGCTTACAGATTGAGTTTCAGCTTGAAAGAGAAATGCTACAGTGACACTTCCCTTTACACTTAATAGTATCCGCAGAGAAGGCCACCAAAGTAAAGGCTATGATACAACAAGGCAATCAATACAAAAGGAAGGCAGAGTTTGCTGTTAATCTTGGATCCTGGCTGATTGGAAGACTGGTTAATGATTTCCTGCATTGCATAATGCATTTTCAAATCTCGCCATTCTATGAAACTTGTTCGCCCAAGAAATTTGGTTACCTCAATATGAGGCTTCTTCAGTTCCTGCGCCTTGTTCCTCGAAAGGTGATAAAGCAAGTGGGCAACTGGCTGTATTAGTAGTTACTTCCTTACGAATGTCAGTAATTCATTTTAAAAGGTTGAATAGCTACACCATAGCTATCCTTATCAAAAATTCAACGCATGCTTATATTTAGGTTAACATAGAGATTTTCTCTAGGAGTTCACCCTATTATGATGTAGACTGCTGGAACAGATCAGAAAATTATCTAGGAGAACTTGAAGATGTATTCTTCTCAGTTCCTTTAGGGGTGGCTGGCAATTTTAATGCACATATTGGTTGAACCAATCAGGCCATTGCTAAGGTTTAAGGAACATCTACAGATTATGGGAAAATGTAGAAACCTGAAATTCTAAAGATATGAACTTCAATTACTCTGGCCTTGCTCTTTTTGCATTAACTATGAAATTTAATTGAACATTCCCAATTTGATAAATCACAAGGAGACTTTACTATGTAAATCAGGGGTCTCAAACTCACGGCCCGCGGGCCAATTGCCGGGACGGGCGGGGCACGGGGGCGGGGCTCTGCAGCCTTCAAAGCGCCTCCAGGAGCCACGTGGGATGAGCGGCCCACCACCACCGCAGTGGTGGAATACTTGATGTGGCCCAGCCTCACCCAGACTCTACTTCTAGCGGCCCCCAGTTCAGTTGAGTTTGAGACCCCTGCTGTAAATAATCTTGGTACAAGCATGGCAGATTATGCGATAATGGGGAGAAAAGATGGGCGCGAACATGGGCGTGCTGAGGGGGGATGGGCGTGATTGTGCTGGGGGGGGAGATGGCCGAGAATGCGGTTGCACTTCTGCAGGAAAGATGGGAGCAAACTCAGCCATCTCCCCCCTGCCCCCAGCACAATCGCAGTCATCTCCCCGCTTGAGGTGGGGGAGAGATGGCCGCAATCATGGTTGCCACCCAATGTGGAGTTCGTGACCTGATTCAAAATTGTTAGGAAATTTTTGTTCATGACCTGATTTGGGCATGAACTGAGGTGTTTGTGAGCCAAGGTACCACTGTACTGGGATGCAAACTTGGGTGGCTGGAATTAGCAGCTTTTATGCCTGCTTTATTCATAGGCTCATAGAATAGTTGGGTCCGAAGGGGCCAAAAAGCCCATCAAGTCCAATCCCCTGCTGGTGCAGGATGCCAGTTAAACCATCCCACTCCAATGGCTATCCAGTTTCTTTTGGAATGTCTCTTGTATGGAAGAGCGCACAACCTCTCCTGGCACCTGGTTCCACTGTTGCATTGATTGTACAATTAGGAAATTCTTCCTTGTGTCTAGCCTGCACCTGGTATCTCTCCCAAAATATTTTGTAGATTTGCTAATAAAATAAAGGTAGCATTTACAAGATTAAGTGTTCTTCCTTTTTGTGAATTTAGGGGTGTCTTTGGGATCAGAGGCTCTGTTGTTGCCTAGATGAGAAGCCTTTGGAGAATGCAGTGCAGCCCCACTCACCGCCCTCCAGTTGCCTGTTGCTTGCTTGCCATGACTGCCTTGCTGTGGCTCAAGTCCCCTCTTCATCTCCTGAGCGATCCACAAGGCTGGAGTTCAGGATGTCAGGTTAAATAGCCTAGTGTTTTATCAGAGCATGAACTCCAGAAGCAATGCCTTGGTGAGTCTCTTCCCCTGTAGACACCCATGGCATATACACAAGCATAGCTAGCAGAGCATCTGCCCAAGAGGCTGTTTCTTCCTCTCCTGGATGAGATCCCACCCAGTAACAAGATTTTCTTGCAACAGGCATACAAACAGAACTCATGGAAGATGAAAAAGCCATGGAAGCAGCGCAAAAGGAAGAACATGGTATCATTGGAGTGGTGTTTCAGGATGACGTTTCCTATCGGCTCAGATTTTCTCCTTTTGATGTGGTTTCTCCAAGCAGCTTAATTGAAGACATAGGTAATTTCAAGGCACCTTTCTACTTATGTTCCATTTCCCAGATATTTCTATGCATCATCATCCTATATTCATAGAAGACATTTTGAGTGTGCTTTTAAGGTAGAGAAGGGATCCATGCATTCTCCACATTCAATCTTACTAAAAATGTTAATTTTAATTTCTACCCCACTCAATAGCTGCTGTTTGCATCCATTATAGTAATACAATCAAGCAATAATAAAACTATTCAAAAAGGCAAATGCGTAGAATCATATAGCTACTAAAAGAAAGTCTGATACAGAATAGACTTGTTAAAAACACCAGATATGGGTGTCCCCATCAAGCCATTGAATGTCCCCAGATGTCTTTAAATGTACTTGCACAGAGGGCCCTCTTGTCTTGGGACCAAAAAGATAAGCCTGTTGGTTGCACAGTAGAGAGGCTGCCATGGAAAGGATGCTACCCCTTGTTCCTGCTAAAGCTAGAATTGGGCTCAGAGATGTATAGGCAGCCAATGCAAGTGGGCCAGAATTAGGCTACATGTTCAGGCCTTCTGGTCCCACCTAGTAACCTGCCTGTCATTTTACACAAGCTGCAGCTTTCGAGCCATTTTCAAGGGCTGTCTGCAATGCAATGCAGTGCACTGCAGTAATCGAACTCAGAGAAGACCAAAGCATAGATTATGTAACCAAGCTATTGCTGTCCAGACAATGGTGTAGCTGGGCCAGCAGCTGAAGCTTGTAGAAGGCACTCAGTGCCCTTGAAGCCACCTGACCATCAAACAATAACGAGGGTTCCAGGACACTAGAATGTTTGGTATTCCCTTGCAATTATATATGGTATAACACCAATTTGTCCCTGTTTCTTTCTTTGATGTATACAAGACTCTGTATGTAATTAAGAAAAATCATTTGCTTTTCCCTTGCTTGCAGATTTATGTTATGACTTTTCATCAGGATATTGTAGCAATCCAAAATACTGGTTCAAGGGGTTTGTATCACTGCAATCAAGCATTGACAGTGCTCTTATTGAAGTAAGTTGAAGCAGTTTAGTTTGGGAATGTTTTTCCTTCAACTTTTTATTGGATTGCATGATTATTATTATTATTATTATTATTATTATTATTATAACATTTCTATGCCGCCCCTTGCCAAAACCTCAGGGCGGTTTACAACACAATAAAATACATGGAAATACAATAGAACCTAATAAATTACCATTAAATACAAAAATACAAAAAATACACTGAGTTACAAATATAAAATTAAAATTATCAGTATAAAATAAGTAAATAAAAATATAGGAGGAGAAAGAGAAGGAAGAAGAAGTTGCCCTGGCCAGATCATATGTTTTAACAATTAAAATGATGTTTAAATAAAAAGGTCTTTACCTGGCGCCGAAAAACCAGTAACGACGGTGCCAGGCGGACCTCTTTGGGGAGTGAATTCCATAGGTTGGGCGCCACTGCAGAGAAAGCCCTCCTCTGAGTACTTACTCTCCTAATTTCTTTCATGGAGGGTTCCCAGAGAAGGGACTCTCCTGCAGATCTCAAAGGGCGGTCGGGCATATACAGACGTAAGCGCTCGTTCAGGTAGCCAGGACCCAAGTGGTTTAGGGCTTTATAGGTCATAATCAACACCTTGAATTGGGCCCGGGCTTCAATGGGAAGCCAGTGAAGCTGACGGAGGACTGGAGTCATGTGAGCATAACGCCCCGTCCCCGTCAGCAACCTGGCAGCTCTATTTTGCACCAATTGAAGTGTTCAGGCTGTCTTCAGGGGAAGCCCCACGTAAAGCGCGTTACAGAAGTCTAGGCGGGAAGTCACCAGCGCGTGTGTCACCGTCGCCAGGCAGTTGTACTCCAGGTAGGGGCGCAGCTGATTAATCAGCCGAAGCTGAAGGAAGGCGTTCCTCGCCACCGCTGTCACCTGAGCTTCCAAAGAAAGCTCCGGGTCGAGGAGTACTCCTAAGCTGCGGACCTTATCCCTAAGAGGGAGTGTTGCACCATTCAGGACCAGGTCAAATCCACCCTCTCCGAAACCCGATTCGCCAACCAACAGGACCTCCGTCTTGTCTGGGTTGAGTTTCAGTTTATTGGCCCTCATCCATTCCCTTACCTCGGCCAAGCACCGGTTCAGCACAGCCACTGCCTCACCTGGATTAGTGGAAAACGAGAGGTAGAGCTGGGTATCATCAGCGTATTGATGATTCCGCAGCCCACACCTCCTGATGACCTCTCCCAGCGGTGTCATATAGATGTTAAATAGCAGAGGGGATAGAATGGAGCCCTGTGGTACTCCATGGCATAACTGCCATGACATAGAGACATGGTCTCCCAGCACTACCTTCTGGAATCGACCTTTGAGATAGGAGCGGAACCACTGCAAAGCAGTGCCTCCAACCCCCAATCCCGCAAGCCTATCCAGAAGGATACCATGGTCGATGGTATCGAAAGCCGCCGAGAGGTCCAGAAGAACCAACAGGGATGTACTCCCCCTGTCCTTCTCCCTGCACAGGTCATCATACAGGGCGACCAAGGCAGATTCAGTACTGTACCTGGGTCTGAAGCCGGACTGAAAAGGATCCAGATAATCAGTTTCATCCAAGAGTGCTTGGAGTTGTCCCGCCACCACTCGCTCCAACACCTTGCCCAGAAACGGGATGTTGGCCACAGGTCTATAGTTAGTGGCCATCTCTGGATCCAGTGACGCTTTCTTCAGGACCGGTCGTATTACCGCCTCCTTTAAAGGGGCAGGCACTCGACCCTCCCTCAGAGAAGCGTTAACCACTTCCAAGATCCAGGTCCCAATCCCGTGCTTGGAGTTATTTATTAACCAAGACGGGCAAGGATCCAATAGGCAAGTGGTGGGACATACTCGTCCAAGCACCTTGTCCACATCATCGGGTCGCAATAATTGAAATTCCTCCAATAATTTTGGACCAGACGGTAGCATTGGCGACTCCTCAGAGACCTCTGATTCATTAGTGGAGTCCAGCTCGTGACGAATCTGAGCGATTTTCTCCCTGAAATGCCTGGCAAAGTCGTCACAGCGGGCCTTTGAGGGTGGCATCGGATCTTCCTTAGGACCCGGGCGAACCAGGCCTTGCACCACTCGAAAAAGCTCCGCCGGACGGCATTGTGAGGAGGCAATGGAAGCGGAAAAAAACTTCTTTTTCGCCACCTTCGCTGCCACAGCATAGGCCCGATAGTGGGCTCTCAAGTGTGTTCGGTCAGATTCATCCCGTGATTTCCTCCACCTACGCTCCAGTTGTCTCCCAACCCACTTCATCGCCCGCAATTCAGGTGTATACCAAGGGGAAGAGTGGACTCTGCCCGGTGGAAGGGGACGCTTGGGAGTGATCGTGTCCACAGCCCTGGTCATCTCTCCGTTCCACAGTTCGACCAGAGCCTCGACAGGAGCACCAGTCTTGTCCGCCGGAAACTCCCCCAGGGCCTTCAGGAATCCATCCGGATCCATCTGGCTCCGGGGGCGGGCCCATACAATCGGGTCCGCACTCTTATAGGGGGAGAGGCCGCTCTCGAGCACAAACCTCACCAGGAGGTGATCTGACCATGACAGGGGAGTCAAACATAAGTTCCTCACCTTCAGGTCATCCTCTTCCTGCCCCGTCGTGAATACCAGGTCCAGAGTGTGTCCACGTTCATGGGTCAGGCCGATGACGTGTTGAGACAGGCCCATGGCCCTCACAGAAGCCATGAAGTCCTGAGCCGCCCCGGTCAGGCCAGACTCGGCATGGAGATTGAAGTCCCCCAGGACCAACATCCTGGGGATCCTCAACACCAGGTCCGAGACGGTCTCTGTCAGCTCAGATAGGGAGACTGCTGGGCAGAAAGGTGCACGGTACACCAATAGAATCCCCAATCTGTCTCGTTCGCCCTACTTCCATTTTTATCAGTCATCATATTTGTTTCCACCAAAGTAGATATTAGGCTTATCATACATATTAATGTTGAAATAAATTCTCCTGAGTGCTGCTCCTTTGTTAATCAAAATGTCATCTTCCATGCAGAGGAATCTGTAGGACTGAGGGAACTGCAAGGGTTGCAGAAGTACGGACACGCACACGCGTGCGCGTGTGTATGTGTGTGTATGTGTGTTGAGGGGGTCAAGTCCTCAGCCCAGTGAGGATTCTCAATAGGTATGTGATACTGACTGTTGTAGCGGGGAAACAAAACAGAAAACTAGGAGGCGAGGAAGAAGAATGGTTGGATACTGAAGAGAAGGACTCTGTACTACAACACTTTGTTGCAGGTTGCTTGTTTATACTTAAATGTGTAGGTCTGGCAAGAAGATGTTACCTGTCAACACCCTATTGTTCTATCATAGCCATTTTTGCGTGTCTGTAGTATTTCCATGTGGCCAAACCTTTTCATTATAGCCTGATCAAGGTTAATTTTGTGCAAATCATTTCTTTCAACCAGAAAAAAAATGAAATTGCTGAGAGTATTGAAGCTAGGCAGCAAGAGAGAGGTGTGGCCAAATTCCTTCTCAGTCTGAATACCATGCAGTGCACCTTTTCCAGAATGGAACTGGGAAACTTCTTGAGTGGGTTTGTGAAGCGCTCCAGCCACTCATGCTGGAGTTTGGATGTCACAAGAACCCCTGCCCAGTGAAGGTCATGCTGCTAACTGGGTGATCCGTGACAACGAAGTCATGTGGGGAAGCCACTGTGGCTTTTTTCCCCTCTGTGATTATGCAAACCTGTCCAATGCTACCTAGTATATATTTAAAAAAGGAAATTGGGTCAATGTTATAAATCAAACAGAAATAAAAGGCACCACTCCAAAGAGAAGAAGACTGCCATTGTATGTTGTGTGTCTGCGCAGTCTGCTCACTGTGGATGGGCTTCCAGGTCCCTGCTCTCAAGTCTTGCCATTCCTGGCCTTTAATCTGGGCTTCCAAAGCTGGCGGGTGGGGGGGGGGGGGTCCTCTGCAAAGAAGGGCATAGTCACACTAATAGCAACCCATCCTGGATGTCCCCGGACTGCGCTAGTATGTTGGTTCACTGGATGTATTCTGTGTTTTTGGCAGACAAGGGGTACTCCTGGTCCCCTCTCTCATCTGCCGGATGCCTCAAGCAGGGGAAAGAATAAGGGGGGATGAAACGCCATTGTATCCGCTACCAGTGCTTTGGGTCAGTCACAGCCTGAGCTGCAGCAGGTGTGGGAATGAGGCAGTAGCGCTAAAGCTTCAGCACACTACGGAAGCATGGGAAGCAAGCAAGGAAGGAAGTTCGTGCTATAAAGCAGTGGTCCCCAGCCTTTTCGGCACCAGGGACCAGTTTCGTGGAAGACTATTTTTCCACAGACCGGGGGTGGGGGGAATGGTTTCCGGATGATTCACCTCATTACAGCAGTGCCTCATATTTCAAACTTAATTTGTTTCAGGAGGCTAATTGAACTCTGAATTGTTTGAAGTCCAAATCAATTTTTCCCATTAGAAATAATGGAAAGTGAATGAATCCATTCCTAGACCCTAAGCAATACCCATTTCGATAAATTTAAACATCAAATATGGCCTCCTGAAAAGAATTAAGTCTGAGGTTATATATGGGATTTGATCAAAAATATGGCAAATATTTAAACAAAAACATTACAGAAAAAGACACATTGCCATTAATCCCCGTCAAAATGCTCCTCCTCACTTCAAACACACCCCATTGTTCTTGAATGTCTAGTTGCACTGCTGTGGCTGCCTTGATGTCCTGAATCGATTCAAGCCAAATGGATTCAAGGCAACATGAATCAATGCAAGATGAATCGATTTGGGACACTGAGGCAATGTGTCTTTTACTGTAGTATACTTTTTCAACTTAGGCACACAACTGATGACGTTTTTGCTGTGAACACATTTTTTTCATGGTGCTTGCAGTTCGAACTTAGAAGCATCGTTTGAACTGCAGAGCCATCTTATCTTGACTCTAACATTCAAACTGAATTGTTCAAAGTTAGACTCCTGCTTTGCGGCCCAGTTCGTAACAGGCCATGGACTGGTACTAATCCACAGCCCAGGGTTGGGGACCCCTGCTATAAAGAGTATCTCACTAATGCAAGGCAGGCCAGTCCAAATAGTGAAGAGTAGTTACAGCTGGTCAGGAGTCAAAAGCCAGAGAAACAAGACAAGGAGAAGTGGTACCTGGGATTGGAGTAGAGCAAGGGAAGCCAGGTGGGGTCCAGAAGCAGGAGCAAGGCAACAGTCAGAGTTTTCAGAAGGCACAGGGCAGTCCAACAACAGCAAAGACCACCATAGCTGAGATAGCATCTGGAGGGAAGAGCCGGTTCTTATATAGCTGTGCCCTCAGGGCTCCCAAGTGGTGCTTGTAACAGCCCAGGTGGCCCACAATTGACTGTGGGCCCAGTCCTGCAACCACCAGAGCTGCTATTCTGGCCTCTGGCCAGAAGAGGCAGCCCTGATGCCGCCTCAGAACCTCACACTAAGAAGGGCCCTGCTGGATCAGACCAAAGTCCTCTCCAGCTTTCTCCTTAGCAAGTAGCATCTGAGCAGTGGCTTCAAACATGGCAGCAGCAAACCTGCAGCCGTTGGGACTTGCTGTGCCCAATCATAGACCCTCCCTCATTCTGACAGGCTGCAGACCTCCAGGGGCACAACCCTCTGCCTGTTAGTCAGACAAAATGGTGGGAACTGTGGGACTTTTTGCATTTACACGTGCACAGGATTGTGCCTTAGTCTGATCTGTATTTGTAAAGTGGGGATACAAGTACTCACAACCATGTAAGTGGTGAGGATTGGTTATTTTTGCATGCAGAAGTCTACTATTGAAAATAGTAATCACTTTTCCTTTTCCTTTTAGCGGATCACCAATCATTCTGTTTGGGATGAAATGAAATCAATGAGTGCCATCCGCATGGAATCGCCTACTTTTACACCATTAAATATCTTTCAGAACCTGCCATTCTACTTTGCAATACCAATGTGCTTTTCTCCAATTATATACTTCTTGTCACAAAATGTTTCGCAGGAGAAAAGGAAATTAAAGGAGGTGATGAAGACAATGGGGCTACAAGACACGGCATTCTGGTGAGCTGCGAGACACACCTTCCTCAGCTGGGCCAACATGCCAGAAGAAGGGGAAAGGCATGATGTGAATCTAGCACATCTAAGTGTATATGTTTTATAGGATGATATTAAAAATGCTAAATCCCTGCCTCCTGCTACCCTGGGCACTGCTAAATTTGATATTGCCCAGGACATGAAACAGCTGCTGAAAATGATGGGGGTTCCACTCTAAGGTATCTAGAAAGCACCAAGCTAGGAAAGGTTGATACAGCTCTATGGGGACATATCCCAGCACCCCTATTCCAATGGGCACAGCTCCTGCTTGCCACTCCGGCATTAGCCGGGATGCTCCCCTGGAGGTGTTCTCAGCCAGCCACTGCTTTCCCCCTGCTGCTCCGCAGAGCCCTTGTCTGGTCATTGGACTTGCACAGAGATTCTGCGGGAGCAACAGAGCAGCTGCAACCACACTCTGTGCCCAGGCAGAAGCCCTCTCCCACACACGTGCCCGCATCTCCCCCTCCCTCACTGCACATGTGCCCAATGCTCCTCCCACGTGCAGGTCTGGTAGCACAGGACAGAGGGTGCCTGCCCTGCCCGGCACATTTTCCCAAGGATGACAGCTGGGGCGTCTGCCTGGGAAGCTCTGCCAGCAGGCTGTCAGGGGCGAGGGGAGTCCTTCAGGTTATGGGGGCAGAGTGGGAGCAGCACAGAGGGCAGGAGGCCTAATGGGATACAGGGCAGCAGCCCAGGGCGGCAGCCAGAGTGGAGTGCCACATGCTGCTAACCTTTGCGTTCACTGCTGCTGTGTCCCCTCCTGATGGGGGCCCTCTGATGCCTCGCCCAGCTCCCCGGCTGCCTTGCCAACTCGGTGTGATGCCACCTCACCCTCCTTGCCTGGTTGTGCCATGGTATCCCCTCACGAGGCCTTGCCACTTGTGGTGCGGGCAGGGACATGGGACAGCGTGTAAGAGGTGGGCCCCTGTGAGGCAACATTGTGGCATAGCCACACAAGGTGGGCAAGCTGGCATCAAGATGAATTGGCGAAGTGGTGAGAGAGGTGTCTGAGGTAGCCAGGCATCAGAGCATTCATGCCAGGAGAGAAAACGGGAAGAGCTGGAGCAACCCGTTAGTTCCCTGTCTGCTGAGAACTCGGCAGTTGCTAGGCGAACAGGGCAGTGAAACATGGCAGCCAGCCACTGCAGCTGCCAAACTCATTGGCCAACATGGGGAAGCCATGGAGAAACCTTGTAACCACCTTTACACATAATAACAAGCAGTGTGGAAATGTAGTACCCTTAGAACAGACTGTTGGTTCTCTGTGGTGATTCACGGTAACCAAACAGACCACATTTCACCATACCTCCTGTTTTAACACATGACAACAAGCTATTGCTGTCATGGCTTATTATTATGTGTGAACACAACCATTGGATTCAACATGATAACATAAATTTAAGGGTTGAATATAGACTGAGCGTTGGTAGTTATTGGATGATGGGTTCTTGTTAAACATGGATTTGTTATGTTGTCTGAAGCCACCCAAAACAACAAACCAAGGTGAACCATCCAGGGTTCACAGCCCAACAAACCATGAGTTCCCTTCATGGGTTCTTTGTGGTTAACAGTGCATATCTGGGTTCAGACAACAGGATAACACATGGGTATCCTGAACCAAGTAATAAGAGTGTCCTTTTCGTGCTTGGCCATTTTGCAAGCTAGTATGACAAAAATATGTCAAATTCAAGTTGTTAAGAAATTTAACAGTTCATTTTTATTTACAGGTTATCCTGGGGTTTGCTGTATGCTGTGTTTGTATTGATTATATCCTGTGAGCTGGCACTTGCTTTGAACTATTTATATTTTGTATTGAGCAGCTTTCCTGCCCTATTTCTTCTCTTCTTCCTTTATGGCATATCCTCAGTAAGTCTTTATCCTTTCTTATATCATCTGTCAGTGCAGTTCCTTCAGGATTGAAAATGACTCCAGTTAATGCTAATGAAATAATTCATGCCATGTTTTTGACTCCTTCCAAATATCAATTTCTTCTCCACTGGAGATCGTATCCAAAACTGGTCTAGTCTTCCCAATGTGGAAAGCCTCTTCCATTCTTGGCAAGAAATCTTTATAAGTCAAACGTTTCATTTCTTTTGAGAACTCCTTGAAGCATCCTGGAGACAGGAAAAACTTGTCAGTGATACCTAGGGTTTCAATAAGCCCTCTAGGGTTCATTGCTATGTTTTTCTAGCATGGGAGTAGCTGGGGAACTTGTTCTATTAGATATCAATTGGTATAGCACTTGTGTCATTCCCAGAGTAAAGATGAGGATTTGGTTCCGTTTAGATACCAGGAAGCACTTCCTGACAGTCAGGACCCAGAGGGTGTGGCATGGGCTTCCACGAGAGGTGGTGGAGGCCCCATTGGTGAGGGTGTTCAAAGATAGGTTGGACATGCACATGGTGGGCATGTTGTGAGCAGAGCCGGCTGGTGCCGGAGGTCAGACTAGATGGCCCAGGAGGCCCCTTCTTACTCGCTCTGTTTCTATGTTTCTATATATGTTGAGAAAAAGATCATATTATTCAAACCTGCTTTGTGTTCAGGAGTTTCAGCTGGCCCATAATGGCACAGTCTGATAACTGGCTTAGGCTGGACACAAGGATTCATTTAAAACTGGTTACCATTAGCTTAGTTTCCAGGCACAATTCAAAGAGCTGTTTTTACTGTTTTAGCCCAAATGTCTTTGTATCAAAAGTACCCTAGGTGCTCATTTCATCATTGTTTCTGATTCCATCATTTAGAAATCAGGTTTGTGTCCAGCAAGTCTAGATTTTGCCATTCATGGCTCCTAATTATGAATCCCCTTTCTAGAGAGGTTTGGCAGGTTCACATGTAAAAGGGTGCCCAATGTTTTTTGGATATTTACATGCTGTTCATTTGCATTATTTGCCATATTTCATTTTTAACAGCGCACATTGGTATTATGTATATTTTCTAATCTTCTTGAGGACCAGTTTGGTCAGTCAAAAGCAATTTAAGAACTTCATTAAATTTGACAGTTAAATTTGTAATGATGGCACTACACTGGTAATTTCCTCTTTTCCAGATATGCTTCTGTTTTATGATTAGCTCTGTCCTAAAGAAGCCAAAAAGCACTTGCCTTGTTGTCTTCATCCTCAATTTGTTTTTTGGAGTCTTCAGCATTGTTACACTCATGAATCTGCTTCCGGCAGCTTTGGAATGGATTTTGAGCATCTTCTGCCCTTTTGCTTTTGGAAATGGACTCTCAAAGGTAGAGTGTGATGCCTTGTTTAGGATGGAAAATTCCACACCCCTTGTTCTTGGTGAGGCTGGTTGTAAACTTGACATTGGTGAAACATCCCAGCCTCTCTTGTGGGCTAGGCATTTTCTGTGCTCTCCCAAGTTATTCTGATAATTGTGTATGGACACAAATGCTGTTTGCCTTCATCTTATTTTACTGCTTTTTTCACAGGACTGCGATACATATTTAGTTACTACAGTTTAGAGGCTGGACGACAGTTAGGCTCATGAAAACCTTTGTTACATTTCATACATTTGCTCTTCCCCATCAGGATCTTGACCCATCAGATCTGAAGTTTATCTCTTTTCACACAGGTCTTCCGCTTTCAAAAATATGGGAAAAACTTCTATTTGTCTGAACTAATGCATGAACCTTGCTTATATGTCCTGCTTTTTGACAGTGCTTTATATATCCTGCTGACTGCCTATTTTGACAAGGTTGTGCCTGGTAAGCAAAGATTAACACTTGCTAGTTTGAAGGCTTACATTTCCTTATTGCAGATATCTGGAGTTGTCTGTTGAGATTTGCAAAAGCCGCCCTTGCTTTGAAAAATGCTACTTTGGGGACAATAGCAAGGTTGAAGGAGTATAACCTGTTCTTTCGATCTGTTGGATAGTAAATTCAGTTTCAGATCCTAAATTCTGTAGTATTGTCCAAAAAGAAAGATTATGTATGTTTCTTACTGGAGGGCTCCTAGCTCTGCTCATTGGAAGGTATTGTGCAGCAATGCTAGCTTTTTCCTGATTGGTTTTTCCACTGATAGAAAAATGATGGAAGAAACAGTAGGAAAAGGTGGAAGGTGCCAGGAAGACAATATTTTCATGACTCCTCCCCTCAAAAATGCCACAGCTGGCATAATCAAAGCCTTATTTGGAAGCATACTTTCTTCTGTCCATACCAGTGTCCTTACACAACTCTGCACACATCCATATACCATGTACCAAGAGTGAAATTTGTTTGTTTTAATTGATTTTTAAAATTTATTATTTATTTATGCATTAATTAAAATATTTATATGTCGTCCTATTCGCAAAAAAGCCTCAGGACGGCTTACAATATAAAATATAACAGAAATAACAGAAATAAATTCTCAACCCACACTGGCTACAGTTAAAAACATAGAAAAGACAATATTAAAACTTATTAAAATATTGCTGGAATAAAAAGGTCTTAGCCTGACACTGAAAAACAAATAACAACGGCGCCAGGCAGACCTCTCTGGGGAGAGCATTCCATAGATGGGGCGCCACCAAAGAGAAAGCCCTCCTCCGGGTACTTTGCCTCCTAATATCTTTCACGGAGGGTTCTCAGAGGAGAGCTGCTGCTGCCAATCTCAAGGGGCAGGAGGGCAAATATGGAAGCAGGCATTCCTTTAGGTATCCAGGTCCTGAGCCATTAAGGGCTTTATAGGTAATAACTAGCACCTTGAACTGAGCCCGGACTTCGATGGGAAGCCAGTGTAGCTGATAGAGGACTGGGGTTATATGAGAATAACACCCAGTCCCTGACAGCACCATGGCAGCTCTATTTTGCACCTTCTGAAGTATCCGGACTGTCTTCAGGGGCAGCCCCACATAGAGCACGTTACAGAAATCCAACCAGGAAGTAATCAATGCATGTGTCACTGTCGCTAGGTAGTCTTCCTCCAGGTAGGGGCGCAGTGGATAGATTAGCCGAAGCTGAAGGAAAGCGCTCCTCGCCACCGCAGTCACTTGGGCTTCCAAGGACAGCTTTGGGTCGAGGAGCACTCCCAAGCTGCGGACCCTGTCCTTTAGAGGGAGTGCAACCCCATCCAGGGCAAGGTCCAGGCCACCTACCCAGGAGCTCGATCCACCCACCAACAGGACTTCCATCTTGTCTGGATTATGTTTCAGTTTATTGGCCCTCATCCTCAAAATAACATAAATGCTTCCTACAATTTTTTAAAAAAATAACTAGTGAAATACCACTCAAATGGAAATATTTCATAGTGTTATAGCCTTATCATCCTACAATGTAATTTGTGCAGTGGAAGAGTTCTGCACTATGTTAAAAGATCAATTAAAAATAAAAAGGTGGCGACACAGGAGCCCTCCACAACAATTATACTGAATACATGCTGAGTTACGATAGATTCACCTGTCTGAAATATTACAGTCCATGTTAAAAATACATCTCTCGAGGAACTCAGGAGTTAAACCTGTGGAGATTGGCTAACCTTTCTGTCCTCAAAGAAAGTGAACTTGCTCTGGTACCAAAAAGCAAAAAAGATGTACACAGCATTGGGATTATAACTAGGGATGTGCTGAGCCTCTCTGGAATCTGGTTTTGCCTATTCCCAGCAGCTGTACTTCTTCCCTGCTTGCTCACACAGCACATGGAGCCCAATTCCTGATGAGAGCCCTGTGAATTGTGGATCTCAGACTCTGGGCCCTGCAGAGTGGTCCAGTTTCTAGGAGGCTGAACCAGGGAATCTGGCAGATTTACCACCCAAAGTGTATTCCTCACACATCCCTAATTACAGCTAATTACACAATCATGTAGATGCTGCCCAGGGTTATCAGACTGGGAACAAGCCAGAATCCTAAATCAGCTTCAGTGTATTGTTTAGGATCCTGGTTCATTCTGAACTTTGTATACATGGTTTTGCAATTAGGACAAAATGGCTACAGCTTGCCATGGACTTCTTGGTGTAGTTGCAGCTTGGGCAAAGAGGTGGAGTGTGCTACCAAAAAGGCTTGTTCATATCTTGGCTCAATATGCTGATACATGATTGTCTAAGTACAGCCAGTGTCTCCATGCATTTATACCTAGAGTGTGCAACTTGCTCCCCTGTCAACCAAAATATTAACTCTTTGAATGATCTGCTCTTTAAATAAACTGCAACTACTCAGTGAGACTGTATCGCAGAGGAAGGAAGATCGATGCATTTGGCTGTGTGTACAGTGAGTTTTGCAGTACCTTTTTGTGTTCAAGAGCATTGCTGTATGTGTTTTCTTTTCCTGTTAGACAAATACGGAGTGCCGTATCCTGCCTTTTTTTTCCTAAAGAAGTCCTACTGGTGTAAATCAAGAAGCACTTATAGCGAGGATGCTTCCGGAAACGAACAAGGCCATGGCATGATCTTCAGTGACAAAGCTGAGTCCGTGCCTTCTGAATTTGATGGGAAAGAAGTCATTAGGTAAAAGGCAGGAAATGTCCACTTGACCCATCCCTAGCAGGCTGCAGATTGCATTTTGTCTGAAATGTTCCAAGGTTCCTTGCAGTCAGGCCTATGGAGGTTTTGCTTCAAAGGGTGCAGGCATGTACGCTGGGAATGAATGACAAGAAGCTGGAAAAAAGCCTGAGGAAAATGCAGTCCTCATGTGGCATTTGCAGTGCCCTGCCAAAAGGTGGTTGTGGCCTGCCTTTGAGGGGCTGCCGGCCAGTGCGGTGGGGCCTTTCTCCCCCGGGAGTGAGAGGCCAGGGTGACTGCAAGGCAAGAATCCAGCCGGGTTCTAACAGCAAATGGCTTCTTGTTCTTTCAGACTAAACAATATTAAAAAAACATACAAAGTGGGGAAAATGGAAACAGAAGCTTTGAGAGGTAAGATGCTTCTAATTCCCTTTAATTCTCTCATCACTTCCCTGTTTATCATTCAGATGGCATTTTAATTCATATTCACTTTATTTTTCACTTTTGACCCCACGATGCAAACTAAAGCTCAGTAAGTTTTCAAAATTTGTAATTCACCAAATTTTACAATGCAGTTTTCCCAATGAAATTACATATATACATCAATATGTATATTAGGGAAAATAAAATTTAAATGCACTGCATTAGGAAACTTGCTTGTAAGTATGTATAAGTATAAATGTACATAATGTTTCTTATACACATAAAAATATTTGAACAATCCAGACTAATCAAACATGCAATTGGAAAAATGAGAAAACTGACAAATTCATACATCTCTGTTCTGTTGCTTCTGTACTCATCCATTGGCATCCCTCATGGTTGATATGCCAAAACAGGGGAAGTGCAAGATGGGAGTGGGAGGGTAATTCAAAGCCATTTTGTTGCAGATAGAAGTGCTTTTGGTTTCAGCAGGACATAGGCAGCAATATTATGCATGGTTGCTTAGGGGCAAGCCCCACGGGGTATGAATAGGATTGCTGTGAAAGTGCTTAGGTCTTCAGCCTCAGGGTATCCAGTCCCTTTCAGAGCTAACAGAGTGTCTCCTATACTAGGCTTGTCCCTGAATATTTACGAAGGCCAGATCACTGCAGTGCTCGGTCACAGTGGAGCTGGGAAAACTACCCTGCTGAACATTCTCAGTGGACTTTCCCAGCCATCTGATGGTAAGAATCACGGCTTTTAGATAAACTAGGCTGCCAGCCAAGTCCCAAATCTGTTTAGATGAGAAGAGCCTTACTGCTTTAGATGAGGGTGCCCTCAAAGGTGCCTCACCCAAAAAGAGGATATAGAATTGTGTACACTTCCAGCATGTCTAGAAATCTTACGTTAATTTAAATAGAAATAGAACTCATTTCACTGTACTGGGGAAGACTGCTAAGGTGACCTGTGTCCTTGCTCTGCAGATTTTAGGAGCTCTTCTCTGTTGTCTTGTGGTGTGGTTATCTTTCTATCTTTGCTCTTGGACCAAACAGCTTTCAAATACAGGACACCCTCAAATAGAAAGACATTGCTGGTCATAGCCTTTGGTCTATGGGACTGTGCTCTGCAAAGCAGGGCCTATAGCCACTCTATTTCGAGGTCAAAGAGCTAGTTACTCTCACATTGTTTCCTACAAGGGACAGGCAAATACTTTTGCAGAGTTCACAAGAAGAACATGAAAGCAATTATGAGGGACTGTTGTTCCCTGGCTGCTGCTATTTGGAGCCTTTTGCTGTGTGAAGAAGTAAGTTTTGGTAATGGAATGAGACTTACTTTCACTTAACTGTACTTGGAATAGCAGTCAGAATCTTGGATTTTAATTATCCTTGGGCAGAATCTTATGGTGACCACCCACATGCAGGAAGCCCTGCAGATTCTCACAGAAGGTGCCAATAAAACCTTGGAAAGAGCCAGTAAAACCATTGTGTCCAAACCTCTGCACAGTGCCAGACTCCCAAGTTGAAGCATCCCTAACAGATGGTTGTCCAGCTGCACCTTGAATGCCTTCAGTGTGGAAGAGCCCATGATCTCCCTAGATCCTTGGTTCTATTATCATATTACTCTAACAGTCCGGAAGCTTTTCCTGATGTTCAGCCAGAATCTGAGTAATTCCTGATGTTCTTCCAGTAATTTGAGTCCATTTTTCCTGTGTCCTACATTCTGGTATGATCAAGAAGAGATTGAAGAAGATCAGAGTGCCCGGTTCTTTCAGTTTTTCTTCACTGGACTTTGTTTCCAGTATTCCAATCATCTTTTTTT